TGTAGTATAACTTCAAGTCAGGGATTGTGATGCCTCCTGCTTTGTCTTTGCTGCTTAGAATTGCCTTTGCTATTCTAGGTCTCTTCTGGTTCCAGATGAAATTTAGGAGTGATTTCTCTAGATCTATAAGGTATGTTGATGGTATTTCCATTGGGATTGCATTGAATCTGTATAATAGTTTTGGGAGAATGGCCATTTTCACAATGTTTGTTCTTCCTATCCATGAGCAAGGGATGTCTTTCCATTTTCTGAGATCATCTTCAATTTCCTTTTTCAGTGTATTATAATTTTCACTGTACAAGTCTTTCACTTCTTTCATAAGAGTAATTCCTAAATATTTCATTTTTTTGCTTGCTAATGTGAATAGTCCAGTTTCTCTTATTTCCCTCTCTGTAATTTTGTTGTTTGTGTATAGGAATGCTATTGATTTCTGAGTATTGATTTTGTATCCAGCCACATTACTGAATTTATTTATTGTATCTAAGAGTATTTCAATGGAGTTTAGGGGGTCTTCTATGTAGAGTATCATGTCATCTGCAAACAATGATAATTTAACTTCTTCTTTTCCTATCTTTACCCCTTTTATTTCTCTTTCTTGCCTAATTGCTCTGGCTAGTACTTCCAGTACTATATTAAATAGGAGTGGTGATAAAGGACATCCTTGTCTTGTACCCGATTTTAAAGTAAAGGCTTTCAATTTTTGGCCATTTAGTATGATGCTGGCTGTTGGTTTGTCATAAATGGCCTTTATTATATTGAGGTAAAGACCATTTATTCCAATTTTCTGTAAAGTTCTTATCATGAATAAGTGTTGGACCTTATCGAAGGCTTTTTCTGCATCTATTGAAATGATCATGTGATTCTTATTTTTGGCTTTATTGATATGGTGGATTACATTTATTGATTTGCGTATGTTGAACCATCCTTGCATTCCTGGGATGAATCCCACTTGGTCATGGTGTATAATCTTCTTGATGATTTGCTGGGTCCTATTTGCCAATATTTTATTGAGGATTTTTGCATCTCTGTTCATTAGGGAGATCGGTCTATAGTTCTCTTTTTTAGTTGGGTCTTTCTCAGGTTTTGGTACTAGAGTAATATTTGCTTCCAGGAATGACTTAGGAAGGATTGCTTCCCTTTCAATTTCATTGAATAGTTTGAGGAGTGTCGGCATTAGGTCTTCTTTATATTTCTTGTAGAATTCTGCAGTGAATCCATCTGGGCCTGGGCTCTTCTTGGTGGGCAAGGACCCAATTACATTCTCAATTTCATTAGCAGAGATTGGGTTATTCAACAGTTTTATATCCTCTTGATCTAGCTTTGGTACTTCATATGCTTCTAAGAATCTGTCTATTTCTTCTGTGTTATCAAACTTTTGAGAGTAGAGGTTTTCGAAATAGGTGTTGATGATCCTCTGTATTTCTATTGGGTCTGTAGTGATTTCTCCTTTTTCATTTCTTATTGCATGAATTTGAGCTTTTTCTTTCCTTTTTTTAATAAGGTTGGCTAGGGGCTTATCGATTTTATTTATTCTTTCAAAGAACCAACTCTTTGATTCGTTGATTCTTTGGATTGTTTTCTTAGTCTCTATTGCATTGATTTCTGCTCTGATTTTTATAATTTCTTCTCTTCTTTTGGCTTTGGGCTTGACTTGCTCTTCTTTTTCTAGCTGTTTGAGGTGTAGCATCAAGTTATTTATTTGTATTCGTTCTGTTTTCCTGATGTGGGAACTCAGTGCAATAAATTTTCCTCTCAGAACGGCTTTCATTGCATCCCACAGATTCCGGTAAGTTGTATCTGCATTTTCATTTTCTTTTAGGTATTGTTTAATTTCTTCTTTAATTTCTTCTGTGACCCACTGATTACTCAAGAGTTGTTATTTAGTTTCCATGTGTTTGCGGAATTTTTGCAGTATCCTTTGTCATTAATTTCTAATTTCAGAGCGCTATGATCCGATAATATGCAAGGGATGATTTCAACTCTTTTGCATTTGCTTAAATATGTTCTGTGAGCTAATATATGGTCTATTTTAGAAAATGATCCATGTACTGCTGAGAAGAATGTGTATTCTGATGTTGTTGGGTGGAACATTCTGTATATGTCTATCAAACCCATTTGTTCACAGGTGTGATTCAGTTCTGTTATTTCTTTGCTCATTTTCTTTCTGGTTGATCTGTCCCTTGGTGTCAGTGGTGTATTAAGGTCTCCTGTTACAATTGTGTTACTGATAATTTGAGTTTTCATTTCTGTTAATAATTGTTTTATATAACTGGGTGCTCTGGAGTTTGGTGAGTATATATTTAAGATAGTTATCTCTTCCTCTTGGAGTTTTCCCCTTACGAGTATGTAGTGACCTTCTTTGTCCTTTATGGTCATTGTTGGTTTAAAGTTCACGTTGTCTGCAAACAGAATGGCTACTCCTGCCTTTTTTGGATTCCTGCTGCATGAAGAATTGTTTTCCATCCTTTGACTTTCAGTCTGTGAGTATCTTTCTGGGTTAGATGGGTTTCCTGTAAACAGCATATGGTTGGATTTTGTTTCTTGATCCATTCTGCTAGTCTGTTTCTTTTGATTGGTGCATTGAGACCATTTACATTAATGGTTATTACTGTTAAATGCTGGTTAATTGTAGGAATGTTATCTCTCTGCTGTTGCATCTTTATCTTTCGGTTCTGTTTAATTATTTGCTTTGCTTAGTGGTTTTTTCCTTTGTGTATCTAAACTGTCTTTCAATATTTTTTGCAGGGTTGGTTTGGTGTTCATGAAGTTCTTCAGCTGTTCTTTGTCATGGAAGTATCGTATTGCACCATCTATTTTGAATGATAGTTTTGCAGGATATATCAGTCTTGGTTGGAAATCATTTTGCTTTAGGATCTGGAATACTTCACTCCATGCTCTTCTTGACTTTATAGTTTGTGCTGAGAAGTCTGCTGTGATTCTGATAGGTTTTCCTTTATAAGTGATTTTTCTTTTCTCTCTGACAGCTTTTAATAATCTATTCTTGTGTTGGATTTCTGGGATGGTGATTATTATATGTCTGGGTGTAGTTTTATTTTGGTTATGACTGTTTGGAATTCTATATGCTTCACTGATCCTGATGTCAGTTTCTGATCTCATGCTTGGGAAATTTTCAGCTATTACTTCTCTAAATATCCTCCTGACATCCTTCATGTTGTCTCCCTCTCTTTCATTAATCCCTATCATTCTTATGTTATTCTTCTTTGCATCGTCTTGCAGTTGTTGAATTGTTGTTTCCTGGTTCCTTGTTATTTTCAAAAGATCTTTCCTTTCCTGTTCACTAGCTGCAATCCTGTCTTCAAGGTCTGAAATTCTATCTTCACTTTCATTAAGGCGGTTTTTACAACTTTCAGTGGAGTTTTTTATTTCCTGTATATCTCTGTGCATCTGCATTATGTATTCTGTTTGTTTCTTATATTGCTTGTCTAGGGATTCTATCTTTTTGTTTAGTTCCTCCAATTTTTTATCTGTGTTTTCTTTAGATATATTTAGAGTCTCTTTCATTTCTTTTATCATTTCTTCTTTTATCTGGGAGATTATTTCGAGTTTGAATTTCTTTAAAGCTTCCTGGAGTTGCTTGTCAATTTCAGTGGCTATTGTGTCCGATATATGAGGTGGATGGGATATATTTTCTTCTATATACATCGCTCCTAGTGTTTCTTGAGATGGGCTGGAGGTTTGAGGTTGTAATTTGGTCTTTCGTTTTGTCATTTTCCTATATTTCTGTGTTTCAAGTGTTATTTGAAAGCTTCCTCAGGATCTGTTGAAAATCCCCTTCTATGTTTGGAGCTACTGAGACTCTGGCGCCGCGCTACTCCAAGTCATTAGGCCTACAGAACCAGTGGCCCTCCTCTGCCTGCTCAGAACTCCGCAGTTCCAGACAAGCTGGGCCTCAGGGACACTGTGCGCCCACCTGCCCCTTGGAAGCTCCACAGTTCTTCAATCGCAGCCGGGTTAGGGTACTCACCACAGGCCGCAGTGCTTCAGGAACCTGTGGACCCTCCCTGGTTGCAGAGATATCCAGAGTCCTCCAGACACGCAGAGAGGCCAGTGAGGGCACCCCAGATCTGCCCAGATCCTCCTCTGCAGACCTATGGCCAGGCGCGGCAGCTAAACAGGCTGGGCTAGGCTGGTAGTGTGGGCCAGCCCACCTATCGGGAGCTCAGCAGGTCTCCAAATGAAGCTGGGAATGGGGAGGCTGATGTGGAAGCCTCAAACCCACCTCTCTCCTTCACTGCACCTGGAAGCCTGAGGGAACTCCAGCAGTCTGGGCGCAGATATCCAGAGTCCTCCAGACACGCAGAGAGGCCAGTGAGGGCACCCCAGATCTGCCCAGCTCCTCCTCTGCAGACCTATGGCCAGGCGCGGCAGCTAAACAGGCTGGGCTAGGCTGGTAGTGTGGGCCAGCCCACCTATGGGGAGCTCAGCAGGTCTCCAAATGAAGCCGGGAATGGGGAGGCTGATGTGGAAGCCTCAAACCCACCTCTCTCCTTCACTGCACCTGGAAGCCTGAGGGAACTCCAGCAGTCTGGGCGCAGAAATCCAGAGTCCTCCAGACACGCAGAGAGGCCAGTGAGGGCACCCCAGATCTGCCCAGCTCCTCCTCTGCAGACCTCGCAGGCTTATGTTTCAAGGGTAATGTTTATTACAGCTTTCTGTCACTGTGGACTTGTAGTCCACAAACTCTTGGCCTCCTTTCTTCCAGGCAGTACATCCTGGTCAAAGCACAAACAGAAAACGCTGCTCTTTTATAGTAGCTAAAAAGTGGAGCTCATTTTTGTAACATATCTCCTGCAAAACTCAAAAAGCTATGAATCCACAAATGGATTAATCCATTCATGAGATCAGAACACTTACAGTCTAATCACTTCCCAAAACCCCATCTCTAAACACTGCTATGTCAGGGACCAAGACTTCTACATATGAGCTTTTGGGACACATTTTGACCAAAAAAAACCTTAACAATGCCTCCTTCTAATTCCTCAAGTAAGCATGTCTATCACTGTCATCAAAGGAACTTTTAATGACAAGTGCAGCTTAAACAAAAAACACTAATTTTTGAGGAACAGTTTCCAGAAATATTCTAAAGAATCAAATAACCACAAAACAACAACACAGGAGACCATTAAATTACATAAAGAGAGCTACCCTCATTCCTGCTCTGCAATGCAAGTTTCACATCTTCAAGTAGCTTACTAAAGCTCTATGTATATAAAATGGAGAATTTTAAAATGTTTTATGCTTAAAATGAACACAAAATTATTAATTCAAATTACATCAAAACACAGAAAAGAGAGATCACCTTGATGGCTTTCTGTGAATTAGGCAGTCCTTCTTCTATGTCTTCTAAAAGAATTCCTCCTAATCCTCGCTGGTCATGCTGATCTAACAGCCTAAGTAGGGCCCTCTTATCTTGCAAGTCGTACTTGGGTTTGAACGCATACTTTCCATCTATGACTTCAATTTTGGGATTGTTGACTAATGCCTGAAACAATGACATAATGTGTATATATTAACAAAAGAAAACTTTACACATACATTCTTAAATTTCAAATTATTTAAAAATATAATATTACCTAGTGCAGTGACAAATTAAAACTTGTGAGTAGGAATTGGAAGATCTAAAATAGCAGATACACAGAATCCCAGAATAATAGGCAAAGATCAGAGTGGTGCATACTTCTTTATATATTTTTTTAAATTACATATTATTTACATACATTATTTAGGGGGTAAAAAACCATTATAACAACTGCCTTAAGGAAAGTTGAATCTTTAAGATAACAAAATGGGTCAGAATTAATATCATGCCTATTAATAGTAACAGACCAAGTAAATGGTAGTGCCCACTGCATCTCCATAGTAGTTCATCATATATTGGCATTACATAAGAAATATGACCCTAGGATGAAGAAATCAGCAGTCAGTCCTTTCCACCTGGTATCAGCTGGAACTAGCAGTTATAGAAAGCACTGAAAAGGTCTAGACTGGTTTGTACATGAACTTTACTACTGTCAGCTTAAGAATGAAACCGTGTGGGAACTCAAGAATTAAAGAACATAACTAGGTGCCTAGTCAGTGCTATTGTACAAGTAGTATCTAGAGGAAAGCTCTGTAAGAAAGAGCAACTGTATTTTCTACAGTTACAAAACCTGACCCTGCCAGGAGAAACAAAAAATGAAGAAAAGAGAGACAACAGAAAAGTAACACAATAAAAATAATCTTTAATATTGGAAAGTCTATGAAATTCCGACATTAGATAAACTACCAAATTTAAGTGTGATCTGCCACAATTTGTATATCAATAGTATATATATTACCATTATTCACAACATCTGTGCAAGTTTAAGTTTGGACACTTTGAGGTTACAATATTATAGTGGTTCTGCTTCTGGTAATGGCCAAGGAGTTCCTAAAAGACTATGACCTTCCATGCATGATATGAAGGGACCAGAAGCTTCTATGATGATTAACTGGTTCATTTTATATTATAACAATCAAGAACTATGTTTTGGATTGGTCAAATAAATTAAGCATAGTTTAGGAATTTTTCATTTGGTCTTCAGAATCTTAATCACTGGTCCTAGAAAGTATTCTTGTTCAATGTCATTAAATATATAAACTCAAAAGCATAAAATCTATGAATGATTATAATGCTATTTCCAGTCAAATGCAGTGGTGCATGCCTATAAACTCAGCACTCACGAGACTGAGGCTCAGAGATCACCACAAGCTCCCTGGACTACGTAGGGAGCTCAAGACCAGCCTGAACTACATAGCAAGATTTTATCTCTAACCCCTTAGAGGCAATGATTATCAAGTCATAACATTAGTAACAGCTCAATAAAAATGTCTTACTAACCCTATACTACCTTACATTTTCTTTTCCTAAAACATACATACTGAAAATTTGTAAGCATATAAACTATAAATTTAGATATTCAAAATAAACTCTTTGTAAACATAAAAGTGATATGGTACTTTGACTTTTTTACAACTTTTATATTGTAGTTCTAACTTTTAAGATTTTTAAACAGATACATAAAATTATGTGAAAACCAACAACTCAAACAACTTAGAAGTATGTATGTTTAAAAAAACAAAGACCCTTCATAAGTTCTTTTAAGAAACAATAAAAGGCATAACCAGATTTCAGTACATTAAAAACACTCTAGGGGTTAGGGATGGCTCAGTGGTAGAGTGCTTATGTTGTATCTACAAGGCCCTGGGCAAAAACAAAAACCAAAACCACTCTTAGTTGTAACAAATATGTCACATGTTCAAGCCCTAAGACCAAAAAAAAAAAAAAAAAAAAAAAAAAAAAAGGCACTCTAGTTATAGCAAATATCTCACAGTAATCAACTAATTTTTCTATATTTATAAACCCATTGTTACCTCAGTCATTAGCCATTGCTTCTGCTTGAGTCCAATATCTAAATGCTGTGTTTCATCCGAAATTTCTTCTAAAGTTAGAGGATGTGTATCTCCTCGCTGATGTCGGGTCTATTGAGGGAAGAAATTATCATTAGAAGAGTTTTTAAATGCTAAATGTATTAAATCAAAGTTTTACATAAATAAAATCTTTGGGAATGTACAACACGTGTTTGTGAGGCAGTACAACTACAGTAATGAGAAGCATGGACTACAAAACCAGCTTCAAAGGACCAGCTTCAAACTCACAGCTTTATAAAATTAAATAACCTAAAAAAAGTATTTGCAATACATATCATAAGGAACTAATATTTTGAGAAATCCAAAAATCAAATATGCAAACAAACAAAAAATGCAAATGACCTTATAGATATGAAGCTGTTCAATTTCTACTAAGATACTTCTCACCCATTAGACTAGAAAATCTCTAATTGTCTAATGACTTCTTTGGTTAATCAGGCTATTAAGAAACACCTTGTCACAGACTGCTGGTAAGACAGCAAATGGTACAAACCCTAGGGATGGCAAAATGACCCAGCATTTGTCTATCTAGGAATTTATCCTACACATATATCAAAACAGAAAATGATTAGAAATCATTGCAGCACTATTTGTAGAAGGAAAACAGTGGAAATAACCCAAACTGCCATCAAGAGGGGACTAATTAAACTGCAGCACCTCCATATTCTATAGAGACATTAAGAAAAAAACATAAGGTGTCAAGGACAAATTGCTAAGTTAAAAAAACACAGACACCAAATGTTGGAGAGGACATGGTAGAACAAGAAATATTCAATGCTGGTGAAAATACAAAATGAGACAGCTACTTTGGGAAATAGTTTGGCAATTTCTGAGGATTTAAAACACATTCTTACCTATCCAATCAATCTACTGATTATGGACCTTTTGTGTATGCACACAATAGTGTTTATAGCACCTTTATTCTTAAGTAGCAAAATCTGGAGGTAACTAAAATGTCCCTCAGTAGGAGAATGGCTAACATATTGTACATCCAGAGATCATCGTTAGCACTAAATAGAAATGAGAATCGAATGCATGTTACTAACTAAAGAAGCCAATCTAAAAAGGTCTCACATTATATGGTTCCAACTATATGACACTCTGAAAAAGGCAAAACTATGAAGACAGTAAAAAATTTAGTGATTATCACAGATTAAGGGAAATGAGCAACAGAAAGGTAGAACACCAGGGTATCTTAGAGACAGTGAAACTACTATGATACTGTAATAGTGGAGACATACCATTATACATTTGTCAAAACCCATAAAATATGCAACACTGATAGTGAATTCTAACATAAACTATGTACTTAAAATGATAATATGCCAGTGTAGTTCACTGATGGTAACAAATGTACTATTTTGGTGTGGCTTACTGACAGTTGGGGAAGACTGGCAGAGGAAATGTATCGCAAATATATGTATCTATATATGTGAATCTAAACTGCTCTGAAACTTAAAGTGCATTTTCTAAAAAGCATAAAAAAGTATACATCTTTTATTGGAAAGGGCAGAACTAAAAAAAAAATAGAGGCGCTACCTCAGGAGACATACACTTAGTGACATGCACAGAAGAATGCTGAAGGAAGACTAGAAATCCCCCATGACACAACAGATCAGGACTACTCCACTCCTTCCTTCACTTCTGCATTCTGCAAGATACTACAATTCACCTAGAATCAGATGAACTGTGGTGGATTTCATATTAAAAAAGAAGACCTAGGGCTGGTGATTTCGCTCAGTGGTGTAAGCACCTGCCTGGAAAGTGCTGGTTATGAGTTCAATCCCCAGTACCAAAAAATAAAAATACAATAAGAGGAAGACTTTTAAAATGCAGATATTATATAACTCATAGTGCTTTAAGAAATGATTATTTAACCGCTGAATTAGTATTTCTTTTTACAAAAAGGAAAATGTTTCATATCTGCTAGATACTCAACTATAGAAGCTACTCCTAGTTCAAGAACAATTACTTTTTAAAAATCAACAATCTGTTCCTTCAAATATACCTTCCATTTAAACCACGTGTTAATGTAACAAAGTTACTGCTTTTTAAAAGAAATTCACTGTAAAGAGTACCTTGAAAACGTTTTCAAAATTATTTCCACCATCACATGATTTCTAAATTTGCAAAGTACTATGTAAGAAAAATTTCCATATCTATATATCATAAAATCATTAGAAACAGTTTCTTAAACTTCAAAGCTTCTAGTCTTTTTAAAAAATCTATTTGTCAAAAATATAATCTTTTTTGATACTTTCTCATAAACTGACATATAAAATGGAAATTCACTACACAAACTGACTAGTTGGTGAGATGAGATTAAAAATTAAGAGTTTCCTAATACAATCATAGTGTGGGACTTCAATACACCATTCACATTAGTCTGTTCAACAAGAGGGGAAAAAAAAAGAAGTATCAGAGTTAAACCACACCATTAAAAGAAATAGACTTCAAGTGCATTTTCTAAAAAAAAAAAAAATGCACTTTAGTATTTAATCTAAAGACAGAATGGATTGTTCTCAACAACACACAGAACTTTTTCCAAAACAGACCACATTTTATGTGATTAAAGCATGCTTAAATACATATAAAAGAACTGACATAATCCCATGCACTATCAGACCATAGCAGAATAAAGCTAGAAACCAACAGCAAAAGCAGCAACAGAAACTACACAAACACATGGAGATTAAATGATAATTAATGAATAATCAATAGATCACAGAGGAAATCTGGGAAGAATAAACTTTCCAGGACAAAAGAACAATGGAAGCACAAGATACCAAAACTTACAGCACACAATGGGGACAATTCTGAGAGGAAAGGTTATGGCTGTAAATCCACACATAAAATGAACAGAGCAATCCCAAATAACCTGATGATGCATGTCAAGCTCCTAGAAAAATAAAACAATCAAAATCTAAAATGAATAGATAGAAAGAAATTGTAAAGAGCAGAAATTAATGAACTGAGGCTAAAAAAACCTGTATAACGGATCAATAAGGAGTTAGTTCTCTGAAGGGAAACTGATCTGGGAGTAGGGACATGAGGGTGGGAAATAAAAAGAATCAAGATGTAATATAAATAAATAAATGAATGCATGAACGTATACACACACACACACACACACACACACACACACACACACACACACATATATATATATACACCAATTTCCCCACAATGAATATATTTACTCTGTATTGCAAAAATACAGATTGAAAAAAAATTAAGCGTTCCAATCAGGTCTGGTTGTGCATGCCTATAATCCCAAGACTCAGGAGACTGAGACAGAAGACTCAAAAATTCAAGACCAGCCCCATGTGGCACAGCAAGAAAACTTAAAATGGCCAGGGGACTACAGCTCAGTGGTAGAAGGGATTACCAGGGATGCGTGATGACTTAGTTCAATCTCTAATATCACCCCCAAAAGATTAAATCTTCTTCAAGTTTCTTCCTAGGTATTAGATGATTTTTGATGCACTGCATTTAATAATTTCATTTTCTGATTTTTTCCCAAAAATTTTCAGGAATTGATTTTTGTAGACTGATCTTGTACATGATGTCTTTATGACATGGGCTTACTCTGCCTACTGGTAGCAGCACTTCTAATATAACATAACACTTAAGTTCTGACAATTGGGTATCTATTCTTGTCTTCTTTCCTGACTTACAAAAAGTACTGAGCTATTTCATCATAAGCATGTTTATAGATAGATAGTTAGATAGACAGATCAGCATTCCACAAGCCCATGGGCTCCACAGGAAATCATTTTTTAATTTTAAAGAGAAAAAAAATCACAATAAAACTGTCTCGTAACAGGCTAGGAGAGTAACAATAATACACTGCATAGGCAGAGCATTTAGTTCAGTGGCATAAGCACCTGCCTGGCAAGCTCAAGGTCATGAGTTCTATCAGGAAAAACAAACAAACTGCATATTGTTATCTTCATAGTAGCCAGTCAAGAGTACAAGATATAGGCATGAAACACTGTGCTCAAACAATACTAGTTCAAACCTTTTTCAATGAACTAAGAGAAACTAGCTGTATGACTATCTTAACTGTCATGTGTATATATTTTTTCCTTTTCCCTTTCTTCCTTAACCCTTCCCCCATCACAATTTTTTTTCTTCCAAATAGTTTCTCCCCAATTCACAGTATCTATTGTACATTTTGGATCTTATTCATTCAGATTCTCAAGCTAGTGAGACAATACAATGTTTACACATGTGGGTCTTATTTATTTCACTTGGCAGTACGTCTCAAGTTGTATCCATTTACCTATAAAAGTCTCAAGTTTATCCTTCCTTGTGGCTGAGCAGTACTCCATTGTTAAAACACACACACACACACACACACACACACACACACACACACACATCTTTTTTATTCATTTCTCAGTTGATGGGCATTTGGGTTGTTTACAAAATCTAGCTATCACAACCGTGCTGCTATTAACATGGGTGCACACATATAGCTATGGTATGTTGCTTTTAATTCTGATGGGAAGATACCCAGAAGGGGACCCATAGGAAATTATGATTTAAAAAAGATAGGCCTTGTTTTTTCATGCTTCACATACCATATGATACTAATGTTCACAGTAACAAACAACTGCTACTAAATAGCTTTACTAACAATTTCAACAGAAATCTTTTAGCATCACATGGCACAGTGCAAACAGCCACAGTGCTGAGGTTACTATCAATTTTTGATACAACAGGGTGAGAACAGTGATAACTGGTAAGCTACACTGTACAAATGGGAGCACATCACGTGACAGTGTCAGAAACTCCCTTCCCAAATTTTAGCCTCCAATCTCCTTTTTAAATAGTGTCAACTGACCTACAGAAGCAAACTCACTAGCAGTATCACAAAAAATGAAGGAAATGCTCACTCTAAACAAAGTATTTTTATACACCATGACTCCTGTACTCTGCTGTTCTAACTATTGTAAAACACAGATAATGCATAATAGAAGTAACTCACTTCACGAACTTGATTCGTTCCATGATTCTGGTCCCAAAACCAAGTTGGATGAGAACCA